AAAAATTTTCTTAATACATACGTTCTAATTCAACTTCCGATATTGTTGTCGAAGTTTTATCAAATAAAAATGAACCTAAAATGTTAAAATTATCATATTAATTATATATATATAATTGAATAAATAATCGATTTACGTAAAATATTAATCATATCAATATGTCATCATCATAATAATAATAGTTTGCATATATCAAGGCCAATAGAAAATTGAATGAATAAGATATGTACTAAAAAAATGAATCTACGGTTTAGTATTCTGATTGATGCATCATTAACAAATGAATAGAGAATAAATATGAATATATATATCTATATGGACAAGTGATATATCTAATTTTTTAGTTTTCTTTTTATAGTTTAAATAAATGAAATTAATAATAAGAATCAAATGCGACAGATGTTACCATTCATTTTCTTTCCAAAAAAACGAATAGTTTAAGTTAGATTTAGTTCGATGATAAAGATAGTATTCAGAAGATGGCGTAAAACGATGGTTAAAAATTAATACAATAGATATTTTCAAGTTTGTTTACATCGTTCTTTTCGTAAGAAAACAAGTAACTAAATAAACAAATTGATTGCTTTATATTTGATTCAGTCATTTTATGATCTGTCAAGAAAATCAAACAATACTCCAATTATCTGTTTCTTATTTCATTACTGTGCATTATCGAAAAGCACTAAACTAAACATTCGGAAGTACTGAATTTTTAAGTAAACATTTAGTGAGATAATTCTAACAGGACATCTCAAAAAAGCACTTCAGTATCATTGCGTCACAGATAGTTGGTTGGGTATCTTACTGAAAATCATCTTCGTACATGAATAGGTATATATCTGAAGACTTGTATTGAATATGTTTTCTCTAACTAAGCAGTATTCAAAAGTATTACATATTTAAGTGTTAATTAGCTACCCAAATGTATTGAGCTACTGAAAACTAGGCAACAGAATATCCTAAACTTAATACTTACACTAGAAAGTTTTTCAGCTTTAATAAATATATCGACGGATTATTCACAGGAAGTATAAGCACATCTAAAACCATAATTATTTCGTTTAATAATTGAAAATATGTTCGTGTAACTAGATATAGACTATATAACAAAAACTGACCGTTACACTTCACTTACTCTGCCTTCTCTTCTTTGTATGACCTCTTCCTTGTAGTATTGATTTTGATGATGTATGCCTTTTTTTCTCTTCTGTTATATGAATACTATAGGAGGATGTACTCATAATGATATAGACACGACTAAAGTGATTAAATAATTCAATAAACATCTGTATCGAGAGTGATGACAATATTATTCTTTTAGTTCGTTGTAGACTAATAAATAATCTCAATTGTTGATGAGTTTGTATTATATTCATCTCGTTGCTTTTGCTTAAACATATTATTCCGATAATTTGTATATTACTCCAGTCTCTACTCGTTTTTCTTTTTCGTCATTACAACATGTAAGTTTCTTACACTTGATTGAGTACCTTTGAATAAAGTTGCAATGAATAATTTATTTCTTTGAACTAATAACTCATCATATTCTTTGTATCTATACACACATCCTGTGTTAAAGTATGAGTACAGATGAATCAAATATATAAGAATGGGAAAATGTCATTCACTTTTAATCAGTTGATGAATTGCTTATCACATCTATTTTAATAAATAATCGATCAAGTTAGATTTGAAATATACATTGAGATAATGAATCAAAGTACTTACTAGAGAAATTCCGAGGTTGATCGAGGAAAAACTATTGACCATTTGAATGATAATATCTACTTTATATTCAAAAACTGACAAATAGGAATTTCTAAGTTGTCGAGGAATCAACAATAAAATTGTGAAAATTCCTTGAGGAATCGAAAATTAATTATCAATTCTGCCATTCATAATAGTCAAAATAATGCGTTTTCTATAATAGTTTTTTACAATCATATTTCTTCATGGATGTCAGAAGAAAGTTTGAAACGTTCTATTCAATGAAAATTTTTGAATTGTATTAGTAATAGGTCAAACAACATCTACAAATGTATAATTTCAGTTGTGTTTTGCTGTAAATAGATTAAATTTTATGTTTATGAAAAACTATTGACTACTTTCATAAATTTATTTCGCTATGGTCTTATTGATTTCCTAATGAAATCAGAAAAGTAGGCTCGCTTCTAACAGCAAATTAATGATAATTTATTGTACACTAGTATAGATATTATGGTTTCTTTTTGAGGCTATGCAAGTAAAATAATGAAAATATAATGTTGCTCTATTTGAAAATATCTAATAAACGCACAGTCGATTATATTTTTAATATATGCACTCTAACAAATGTTTATTATAGTAAAATGATCACTTATTCATAGAAAGGTCAATAAAATGTTGATTAGGGCATATTCAAAATATTTATAAGGTCAAATTACAATGTGAATGCGAGAGAAAAATAATGGATCAGAAAGTACAAATTCAAACGAGAGAACAGCAAAAGAGAAAGACAGTATTGAAGCTCATAGATGATTCATGAATCACTAAGAATGTGACAATGCACGAGACATGTTTTGAGATAGAAATATTATTTTTTTTTATCAATGGCATACAGAAAAGAAGAAATAATAATGCATGAAATAAAATAAGCATTGATAATCGCATCTATGTATAATTGAACAGAATGTATACCTACCAAATAAGTCAAAATGATTGCAACATCACGTATTTAACTAATAAATCTACACAAATAAATCACAAAAGTTTGAGTGTTTGTTTTTTGTGTCAAAAGATGCGCCCTTGAACTTTCAAAAATAGATATTCGAAATCCTATTTCCTTGTTGTGATGCATTTTTATAAGAATAAAAGTGAAGACTTCCATGACGCATTTTGAATGCTCGATAATCATCTAACTGAAAAATTCTATTCATTAGTTGGTACTTCTACAGGATACACACATCGATCCTCACCTACATGCAATGTTGAGCATTATGAGATTAAGCCAATTAGTGTATGATCAAAGCAATTAGTGGATACAGTGTGTGCATCCTGTGGAAGAACCATTGGTTCTGATCATTTCCTATAATGTTTAACGCCGGATGATGTAATTTTCTTCAATAATGGAGTAAAAAAATGTCCTCAACATTATTTAATTTTATGTGTATATCCCTATAGATAAATGATAAATCATTCCAGTTTTTTTCGACAGATGTACTGTTGAATTCTGTGTGAGTTGAAAGTAAAAATATTCTTTATTTCAGAAGACTTGCATAATAATGTGATTTTCCATTACAATGTAGCGAAAAAAAAAAGATTTTTATTATTCTCGAAATAGTAGAATATTGCACCATCATACGAACTTTCGGTTTTCATCTTATTAAAAAATTATCACAACTGGGTAATAGGATTTCCAAATTCTTACTGCATTGGGAATTCAACGGCACATCTTTTAAGATAAATTTTTAGCTGTTATGATTCTTTTATGTCGAGATATGAGGAAAATACGTGATGCTGCAATCATTTTGACTCGCCTAGTACATTCACATACAACGTTGACTTTTTGTTTATAGTTTATTTATCATCTCATGTTGCAAATGTTTAGATCACTTTGTTCAAATAGCAAGACTAATCGTTGATAAGATCAAATTATAGAAACAATAGAAACGTAATCATTATACCATTCAATAATATTATTTGAAATTGCAAAGTATTTCAAAAGTGGTCAAGATATATCAATTTTGATAGAGAAAAAAATCAAATTTTATTTCAATAACAAGAAACAGTTTTTCATCTTGCTTTCATAAGAGATGTCACAAACGTGTTCTAAACAATAAAACTTAATGATGATATTTTACTTCTAATAATATACAAGAAAAGAACATACACACATACGCATCTTTATCTCTATATAAATGATCTATCACGTCTTTCAATTGCAAAAAAGACACTAAATATACAACGACACATCGTTATCTTTATGTCTTGTATCTTCACAAATGATTATTTTTTTTTACTCAGCACGAACTATGATCATACGGTTCTACGAAAATCAAGATAACTGATATAAATACTGAGAAATGGTAAACTCACGACGAATCATCTATCATATATACAGAGTAAATCATAAATAGTACAACGATTAAAAAAATGAAATATCTCCGTATCGGTTCAATCAAATGGGGTGATATTTTTTAGTTAGTGGCAGAAGCTTATTCATTTTTTTTTCGTACGGATGAGGTAAGTCAATACTACTATCAATTATTATTGTTGGCATCATGAAAATAATTTTATCTTTTACCAAGTACGCAAAAACACATGCGTAGCATTTCATAGATAATTTTCAGTTGTCACCTAAGAGAATAAGAAGAAGAAATCAAAACAAATTTTACGAATGATACTATATTGATGTACATAGAGCAAATTTTCGAAACCAGTAAGTTTAATAGTCAATGGTTACAAAATTTCGAATTTTCAAATATGATAGTACTGGTTTTTGCAAGGAAGTTGACGTCCAATGAACTGTAATAATACGCGTTACTTATGAAGCACGAATTCCAGTATTTAAACAGAATACTATTAGTTTTGAAAACTTACTGTATGTGTGCATCAATATTGTCTGTTTTGACTTATTATTATTATTATTTTTATTTTTTGATGACAACTGTAAATTATCTATGAAATGTTTCATATGTGTTTTTCTTACTTGACAATAGGTAAAATATTTTTGGTGAGACAAAAAATATAACTTGACAGTTGTATTTGTTTCTGTTATCTGTATGAAAAAAAAAGCTTCAGATAAGCTTCTACCACTAACAAAAAAAATCAGTCTATCCAAACGAATCGAAGTGAAGGGTATTTCAATTTTTTATCGTAATATTATTCTAATGCCTCCGTTTGGCTACATCAAAGAATTATTAGTTTTTCTTTTTGCTATAAAATTACATCTTTATTTAAGTGAAATAAATAGTTTAGTCTATTAAAAGAATCATTTTCAAATGATTTAATTTTTAGATTGAATGATGAATACATTAAATATATTTGTTTTTATCATCAATTTAATATATGTTCTTGTTTCTTGTGGTATGCATATAAATAATAAAATTTTTATTTTTAATTCCATCTATATCAATTTATAAGATGCAACATCCACTGCGAAACCTGAACAATCTCTTATTATGCATGGCCGTATTACATTTCTTCCTAATTTCCAAATCCCGACTGAATCTGATGCTAAATTAACTGTTGAATTACAAGATACATCACTTGCTGATGCTTCAGCAATAGTTATTGCAAGATCAATTAGCAAAGCAGTTCAATTTCCAATATCATTTGCTATTAAATATTCACCTTCACAAATTTTAGAAGGACATACATATTCACTTAGTGTGACTATTAAAGATAACAAGAACGAATTGTTATATATCAATGATGTATATATTAGAGTAACACCGGTAGGTTCTAGTCGTACTAAACTCATTGATATACCTGTTAAAAGTGTTAAACGTAAGTAAAGAAATTGTTAATAAGAATTTACTAAAAAATTTTGTATATATACAGAAACAAATCCTATATTAAACAAAAATCAATGGCCTGAATTAATCGGTAAAAATGGTCAAGAAGCAGTGAATATAATCAAAAAAGAAACAGGTAATATTATTAAAATATATCGATAAATTTATTTCAAAGATTAAACTAGGCTTTACAAATGTTATGATAGTCAAAGAAGGATCACCGGTTACATTAGATTATCGTACGGATCGTGTTCGTGTTTTTGTTAATGATGAAGGCATTGTTACAATTGTTCCAACAATTGGTTAAATGATAATTTTGAAAATCAAACTAAGAATAATAATGAACTAAATTTTTCAATTTGAATATTTTTATTGTTTTCATCAATTATCTTTTGACATATGAAAATTCAAAAAAGACGAATACATATGTATCGTTCTATCGACAAAATAACACTGGTTCTCATTATACTAACCTGTTTTTTTTCTACAAAGACATAGCAAAGCTATGACGACCTTCTAAAGAGTATTCCAAAAGTCTGAACGAAAAACAAACATGATTCTTCAGTAATTACTCTATGGTTATCGATTTTTGACAGCACTAGTTTCACAAAATTGTTAAAATATGTTGCTCATGCGATGTTTAGTTAGCATGTTTTTTTTCCAAATGCAGTTTATAGTTACCCTTGAACAATATTGGCCTATTCAAATTTGATAATGAGTAAAACTATTTTAATTCTGACTTCTTTATGTGCAGATATTTTATCTGAAAATTTTAATAAATATCTGATCAAACTGTAAAAAAATAACATTTAAATCCCTTGAATTTCTGAGCAGCTATTCACGTTTTTATTTCGTTCGGACTTTTGAAACAACTCGTATAAACTAAAAGAGTATGTCTAACATTCGGTCATTAAAATATGTTACTTTTTTTCCGACAACTTTTGATTACAACGTTTTAAATTTACATTCGCATCATAATCATTTCATAAAGTTACACCACGCACACCTGCTAAACTTATGACGTGAAATATGTAGGTCTTAAATATTTGGCTTTACTAGGTAAAAATTCTATTGAATTAAAAGCATTGTACGCATATGTTTTCATATATATTTTAATTTGTACTGTTGTAAAATGTTAACCTAGTAAACAAATGTTTTGATTAGTCTACAATATTTCTTTTTTGGAGCATTTGTTTTGATCATAATTGATTATTTATCTGTTGAAGAAAATATAATAAGCAATTACTGTAATTCACTAGCAACACATAATATTTTTTCCATTCTGAAAACATTCCACTATGTCAATCTTTTCTTTGACACATTTATGTATAACGATCAAACAGATGTTGAGAATGGTAAGCCGATGTACCCCACTTTTTCGAAGTGTCTGTGGAAGTTTCTGCTGCACATAGGTTTCTGGCAAATCCATTAGACTGTGCAGATTGCGTACCGACTTTGTATATAGTGTGAACTGTTTGCAGAATCTGGTAGACAGTGCAGAGAATCTATTTGTTTTAGTGCATAGTGTAAACTGTTTGTGAAATTTGGCAAAAGTAATGTCTATTGAATATTCCAAAAAGTATAGTGAGATTGGCGATATCAAAGCACGTTGTGCTTATCTTCATTCAAATCCAATACACAGGAGAAGTTTCAATGAATGCCGTAATGACTGTATGATTGTAATAGTATTAACTTCTGAAAAAACAGAACAACAGATGATAGCAGTTGACTGACTACATATACATATGATTCAACTTGTCGACATTACGCCTAATCGATATATATGTTCACAGCTTATTCTTGTACACTCACGTATGGCTACTAGAATAGAATCTACGAATATGGTTTATTCAGATTATGGTAAACGTATGACACAGAAAATTGAAAAGTAAAGATATGCAGAATTACCCTAGGGTGTGGGTACAAGAAAAAAATTCAGGAAAGCTTTCTAAAGTCAACATAGCAATGAATCTATTCTTCGGAAGGGAATGAAACTATACTACTATTCTATAATTCTTAGTTTCTGATTATCTATATGAATCGATGTTACGTGTTGTAGCCTATTATTTATTAGTAGTCACTGCATTTTACTATTTCTTTTAATACTAACGTATTTGGGTTGTAGCTATTCTTCAGTAGTTTTAATACGTTGTCCCTATCAACACAGTAAACTCCTGACATTTATAACACATTAAAACTGTTATAGCGGGATTGAAGTATGGCAAAAGAGGCACTGTTAAAACACAATTTTCCAAACATTATTGGCTATGTAGAATGAGTTAAATAGCAGAAAAGTAAGAGTTATTTTAATGTGTCAATTTCATATTTCTGACTGGATAGACATATTCGATCTGTTTAAGTCGGAATGTATCAATGTAACATGAGTAAATTTTTAACATTATTTAATTCGTTCCGAAGTATTTAAGACAACATGATTAGTGAAAATGTCTATTTTTCATGGACAACTGTATTTAACAATACAACAGAATATATAGTTTAGAATTCTCGAAATTCTCTTTTTCCATTACATTTTAGAATCTGTAATCACACATGCTCTTTCGAATTGTTCATGTTAAATGCAATCAAACATACTATAATTGTTTTCATTTACAGTTTTGAAAGATGTTGCTCTTTCAGATCATTGTTTACATCAATTCGCTCTATTTCATCATTGCAATATTTAGTATTCAAACATCAATTAATCATATACCTCTAGAAATTAATGTAATAGGCAATTACTTACACAATGTAATGCAAAACATTACTGCCATTCTTGTATATCCTATATTATTCACTTCTCTTACTATAACGCAGTATGTATGTGTAAAGACAATTACTGTTCCGGATTGTTGCTGAATGATACAAAAAGTTGCTTATTAAAACTTTACCAAGAGGTAACTATTGAAATCTAATCAATACAGATGTTGTACGATGATGAAGATAAGTGAACAGTAGAGAAATCTGCAGTCTTACAGAGCAACACTTTTTAATACTAATGCATAATATTATTTGAAGATATGATTCTTAATTACATTGAGTGTAACATACAATTTTTTTTGAATATCTTTATGTAACTACTATTTGTCCAATTTGATTCAATGATTCTTGTAATGTTGCGTGACCTTTTTGTTTTTACTTCACTCACATGAAGTGTTGTGTCTACGTGTGTGTGAATCAATCGATAAGTGTTGTAATTGCGAAGAAACTATAAATGTATTGAAATGTCATTTAAAATAAAAATGTGACAACAGACTTTATGTAAAAAAAAAATACTCAGACGATACAAATTTAATAGATAAAAGCTCCGTAAAGTAAGGTGTATAGCGCCCTCTAGTTCATTGTATCATTTTTTAAATTGAAACAAAAAATATACTCATGTAAATAAATGAAGAAACTGAAATAGTTGTTTATCTTAAGTATGATATATGATTGATTAAATGGATATATTTAATCAATGATTGGTGAATAATTTTATTTAGAATTTATACTAGCGGAAGAAAAGCTATTGCCTTATATATATATATATATATATTTTTTGTTACTTCTTTACTGTTATCATTTTTATAGATATTTTCTTATAATTTTTATTCAATTAACAAATCAAATCTATTATGACTGAAGGCTATAGTTTTCTTCAATGTTGTATGTAACTTTTTTTTGTTTTGTTTTTTGTTAAATAATTTTCTCATTAACCTTTCATAGTATTTAATAAATATACTGAAACAGAATATTTGACTGAAGCTTGGATACCAATAAATGAAATTCTTAAACAATTTCTTCAAAATTCGATTGAAAATTTTAAACCAACATCATATCAAGCTATTTATTGGTATACAAATTGAAAGAGGGAGGATGAGGAGAAAAATTTATCCAAGTGTGATATTTCTATTTTAAATATTCTAGCAAAGTATATAAAAGTACATGTAAAGGTTATAAAGAACGATTATATAATGATTTAAAAAATCTTATTACAGAACATTGTTATAATTTGAAAATACAATTAGATGAAAATGTAAGATTTCAAAATTATTTTATTAATTAGAAATTATTGAAATTATTAGATAAAAAAAATAATTGATAATTGTTCAAATACTCATATGAACATTTTTATTCTTCAATTTATTGATTTTCTTCATCAATATCATCGAGCTATTCAAGTTATTGTTCCACTTTTTGTAAGAAATATTTATATATAAAATTTTATTTTGATTATATTTTATTTTTTAGCATTATCTTGTTAGTTTTCTTTTTATATATTGAAAAAAAAAAATATCATCAAATTTATTATTTTTATTAATCAAGGATGTTTCTTATGTTAGACCAAAAATGCGATCAACTATTGAACATGAATTATTATTTCTTTATAAAACAATTATTATCGAATATTATATTAATCATGTCTTTGGTAAAGAATTAAACATTTCAATTAAATTCATATTGAAATATTTCTTGTTGTTTTTTTTTTGTACAGCTGTTCTTCAACGGCTCATTAATACATCGGATAGTCCATCGATGGAAAGAATTGATTTATTATTACACTTAATGCATGATATTACACCAGGTATATACGTATGATTAATAATTTTTTGTTTTTATTAATTAAAATTAATTTAAAATAGAATCTGCTGTGAAACAACGTGATTTATATAGACGATATTGCAATGGTGAAGATGTACTTAATGAAATAATGTTTAATGAAGAAGATATGATAACATCGGCGTCGTTCGTATTTCAATGAATATTATTGATCTTATCTAATTATTAATTATTTTCTAGGCGAACAGCTTCAAAACGATCAGTTGATGATCTACCAGGCGAAGAAGGTAAAAGAAAAAAAACAAATATTCTTTCACTACTATCGCCAGTATGAAGAGTGTGAGGAAAATTTGATTTCATCGTAATGCACATACAAGAAAATAAGTTTAGATGTTCAAGGTGTCTTTATGTTATCCTTTGGTAATAAGTTGATCGCGATGAAATATGAAAAAGCTGAAAAGAATTCGTACTCTCAGGTTGTTATCGCCAAGATAACGATTTTGCTGCAACAATTTTCTTCCATAGAATTCAATAAAATTTTGTTTTCGAATTCTCCATTATATCTATATACATCATTTTAGTATTTGTAAGAGTAATCTTTACGAGATAGAAATGTTTTGAAATATGCAGTAAAACCTCTCTATGTAAGGACTTTCTTACACTTGGGAGTAAGCGCTTATTTATAGTCCCATAAACAATAACAACGCCTTGATAAACAATCATGGAACAGTGAAAAGGAGCAGCTCGTCATCTTTGTGTTAATAGCAAGTA